GAGATTCTAGAAAGATCATGTCCGTTCGTGAAGCCTCAAGTGTTCTCCAGACGCCCTATATTTCGTATATAAAAGACTGGCGAGAAGTGACGGCATATTTATATGAATAATTGCAGATTGAAGAGATAGAGACAGACAAAGTGTGTGAACCGTTCGTTGTGAATTATAGCGTGTGTTTAAGTCAAAGTGCCTGTGGAAATTAAGTGTATTGCAAAGTTGAATTGAGAAATAATAAACTAGTTTTAATTAAGAAAGGACTTGTATCGCTAAGTTTCTTTAGAAAGAATTTCTAGGGAAAATTAACCTACGACCAGAGACGTAACAATACATATATAGGCGACTAAGTTAGTGCAGGTAATTAAGTTAGTGAAAATAGAAGTGAAGTTAGACAGCGTGATTGCAGGTTTAGCCATAAATAGCATATAGTGCCAATTTCTAAAGGGAAATTATCACATTTTGTATTGTAATAACAGAGGTAAAGAAGAATAAATTGTTTTGTCAAAGTGTGTTCTAAAGTATTTCAACCCACTTTTGTGTACTTTGACGAAAAGGAGACAATTATTTAAAGCTCTGGATACAAGTGTGATAACCAATAGTGTCACGAATTTTGTACATATGTTTGACTTGTTTTGTATAAATTATTTTAAATCAAGTGGATTTTGTGCTATTTCTTTATCTTTAAAAATCTGTTCCTATAAAACCTCACAATTATTAATCACCACAGAATATAAATTGGGTTTGTTTTAGTGAATTTTGCCTGCATTTTATTCTGATACTGACTGTGGTGGTTGGATCAACTCATGAATGGCAGTATGATATAAATATAGTTCGTACCTGTATACAATAATGAATTTATATTACATTTTAATGCCGAATATTGCACTCATCCTATATTTGTGTGTGTTTTATTTGAAAGTATCAATTCAACTACATTTTGTTGGATTATTGATTTTGTAATTCTGTAGTGTAGCAGCTCACAGTTGGCAATGCAGTAACAGTTAGAATAAAATAGGTATGGAGTTATTGTAGTAGGAACTGCAGCTTTTATTGTCATGGTTACTGCATGTCATTGGACAGCTTGTCTGATATTATAGGTATATACTATATTACACATACTGTTGATAGATGCACATATATAGTATTATATGTATATGGTTATATGTGTATGGGCATTATATACAAGTTATTTCATATATCATGAACCATGATAGTGGTTCATAATAGGGATCGCACAAGAATTTGCTCAAAACTCTAATAGAACACTCGGGCAAATCCCATTTTAAAAAACAGATATATTATTGAAACAACACTCAAAACCTTCCTTTGCAATATTAAGACCACCCCAATATTGGCAATAAGCAAAATTAAGTGACTTCATCATTGCTAGAGAAAATCAAAATTTGCTCATTTATTCATATTATTATTGTTGTTTCACAAGGCTGGGTATTTTTCACCAAAATCTGGACAGATATACTATATGGAATGTTGCAAATGCCAATGATATATTTAAACGCGTCTACACGAAATCTCATGCACAAAGCCACCTGGCTCATTAAATAATTACTTAAAAAAACACGAAGCTTTATTAAAAGCGATGTTTTAGGTGTATTCGTTTTATAATTATTTGAAATGGGTGCTTTTCTATTGGTAAAATTTTATACTTGTTTAGTGGGGTTGTGTCTTACTCTAGGCAAATATTTGCCCATTGCTGTGCATTAAAAAACCCAACATACAAGATAATAAAAAAGTTGATGATTTAAAACCTACAAACAGGGATCGCAAAAAAGTAAGCAAACAAGGTTGGAAATCTACTGCTGAAAGTTTGCTCAAGCTAAAAATCCCTATTATGACTTCACTGTAAAATTATTGTAGTGTGGGACCTGACATTAATTTTGCATAAAACAAAACAAACAAAAAACTGAAAGAGTAACTTTAAACTTAATTCGACTTCCTTAATTTTGTCGTGCCGCGAAAATGTTTAAGTCCTTCACGTTCTGCCATAAAAAAATCCGGTGTTTTTCTATCAGATGTGTTAGTTGTAATCTATAAGATGTACATTTTCACTGTATTAATTGGAAACTGCTGTGGGAAAGGTTCCCAATTTTGCTGTTGTATATCATCACTCAAATTGCTATTGTTTATCGTTACTCGAGTTTCTTGTCTCTACATGGATATCTACGACCATATTTCTGCAAGTTTTTAACACTGGACGATTACAATAGTAGATTTTCCTATTCAGATGGCATTGGTGATTCTTTCTACTGCTTCTTATACTTAGCTGAAATCGTGAGTGCATATTCAGTATTTATTACTACTGCATATAGCTATTGTTAAATAGTTGGTGTTAAGGTAGAGGTTATATAAATGTTGTTGTTAATTGGCGACTTATACTAAGTGTGTCGCTGTTATCTATCATGCATCCATTATTTGTGTCACCTTATTGTAGCAAACACTTGTGCACATCAGACATGCTTACTTTGTTAGAAACACATGTATATGTCATGTAGATCTAACAAAGTAAGCATGTTACATAGCTTGTTCACATTGCATTAATCTATGTTGTATTATGTTAGAAGAAACATTATTCCATTCTGATGAGATTGCTTTGTTGCTGCTCATCTTTTGTTACATTACACTGTGACATTGATGGAAGCCGGTCATCAAATCTGTGATGATACAAACATTCCTTCAAGAGGGTCCTTCGAGAACAACTTTAAAATTTTGTTTGTTGTAGTTGCATACTAGTACATGCGTTTACACTTTGTTGTACATTTGTTATTTATTTTGAATAAGTTCACTGTGCTGGTTGAGTGGGGAAAAAAAGCAAATGTGGTAGTAATCTGTTGAAAAACATGTATCATTCAATTGAATGCATATGCACATATGTAACTTAAGATTTATTCTCCATAACCAGACACGAAAAACTTATGAAACAAAACTAATAAAAAATATTAATTTTAAAAGGGGGAATAAGGATTGTCAATTAGATCTGAGTTTGTATGGGAGTTGCCTAGTGCTGGTGAGTCTGCACGCCTATTGCATCAGTTCTGAAGTAAACTGGGTCCCTCTGTCACACAAAGCTTCTTTTGAAAGGCCTACTCTGCCGAATACTTCCAGGAGAGCTTCTGCCACTTTCTCCATCTCTATCTATGGCAATGCTATGGTTTCTGGGTCTTGTGTCACATAGTAAACTACTGTCAGCTACTTGTCCTTGTTTGATACAGGTGCTAGTAGTGGTTCAATCAAGTTCACAGCTACTCTGATGAATGGCTCTTCTATGAATGGCATCTCATCCAGTGGCACCTTGACCACCTTCCCTCTGCAGAATCTAGTCACAACTCTGATGACCACCAGCCAATGGAAGTTGCTGATGACTCTGTCTGCCATATTCTTCACTCTTAGGTGTCTTCCCACAATAAACTCATGAGCCAACTTCATCACACGAGTCTGGTATCTTGGATTTGCAAGTTATACTCCCTTCATAGGCTTCCATATATACTGTTCTGACAGCTTGGTCATCTGCTCCTTCTCTCCCCTTAATGTATGTTTTAATCATTCTTACATATCCACAGTAACTGTGACAAAATGTTAAGTGAAGGTTAACTTAAATTTACTATCTAATATTAATGTGGCTTAATAATGCTTAGGTGTTCAGTTACTGTGACAAAATGGTAACTCCAACTTACTATCTCATCTTAATGTGTGTTTAACAATGTTTAGATATAAATAGAAACTGTGACAATGTGTTGAATGAAGGTTAACTTAAATTTACTATCTAACCTTAATATATGTTTTAATAATGTTTAGGTGTCCACAGTAACAGTTTGTTGTGTGAAGGTTAACCTCAACTTACTATCTAATATTAATGTGTGTTTTAATAATGCTTAGATAACCATACTAACTGTGTCAAAGTGTTGACTGAAGGTTAACTTGAACTTACTATCTAATTCTAATGTATGTTTTAATAGTGTTTAGTTGTCCACAGACCATGACAAAATGTTCAGTGAATATTAACTTCAACTTACTATCTCATCTTAATGTGTGTTTTAATAATTCTTAGGTATCCACAGTAACTGTGACACTGAGTGAAGGTTAACTTAAATTTACTATCTAATCTTAATGTGTGTTTTAATAATGCTTAGATGTCCAGAGTAACTGTGAGAAAATGTTGAGTGAAGGTTAACTTCATCTTACTATCTAATGTCAATGTTTGTTTAACAAATTTTAGATTTCCATAGTAGCTGTGACAGTGTGTTGAGTGGAGGTTAATTTCAACTTACTATATAATCTTAACGTGTGTTTTAATAATGCTTATGTGCCCACAGTAACAGTGACATACATCTTTATCTTTTCATATATAGTTTATTTTAATGTTTTACTTTCCTTTCCTGTTTTTTACAATTGATTATTTATGTTGACACGTGAACTGTTGGCTGTCAGAAATATTACATTATCATTACGCTTTAGGCTCTGACAAAATTTTTTGAACTTGCTTAGACTTATATCTTGTGGAAGGTGACAAAGCTTTGCTTAGTTTTTAAAAATTATTAAACCTTTCAAATATGAATTTTAAATGTGTTAGTAACACTATCCACTTACAGACACACATGATTCAGTTAAATATATAAATGAAAACTATAAACATAATTTGAGACAAGTTGAAATCCGTATGCAATCGAATAGTAACACCATCTGCCATTGTAATACAAATACATTTATATATGAAAACTTCATTACAATGAAATATTTTGTCAAGAACTCTTACTGTTATGTTTAACCAATAAAAACTCGAAATAATATACTTACATCTTTAGAATATATAACTAAATCTAGACATTGATGACAATCACAAGTTCAGACACCCTACGATGAGCTTATCATCCCACTGAATTATCCATTTATAGAAACACCATCTGCCCCAGCAGCATATCCTTAGTAAGACCATCCACCTATCCCACCTAGTAACACCATCTGCCGTTCTAAAACACATGTAATACAAATAAATATACAAATGAAAACTATAAACATATGTTGAGACAAGTTTAAACCTGTAGGTAGCCCTACAGGACCATAGTAACGCTATCCACCTGTAGCAATACCATCCGCCTTTGTAAAACACACACAATATGCCTAGTAAGACCATCCACTTGTATAAACACTACTCTTAGTAACACAATTTATCTACAGAAATATTACCCTTAGTAACAGCAAATGCCTATAGCAACAGGCCCTCTGGTAACAAACTGTGATGTCAACACCTCCCCAAGACAATGGTGTACTCTGGTGTCACTTTGTGGACCACTCAGACAGTCACACCCTCTGGTGCCTATTATGTAACAGTTATGTAACCCTCAGGTGTCAGATTTAATGTTTTACT